TGTACTAGGTTTTCCCAGTATTTCTGCAGATTCGTTGAACTATTTTATCACCAAATGAATTCAGCTCAGCTTTTGCGCAGGTAAGTTAATGAACAATCATTTTCTCTCAGAAAGGTAAGATTTTTACAAGGAGAATTTACGTAAGGGCCTAGTTGTTTAGCTTGGCTACTGATACTATGTTCGATTGCTGTGCAATTTACTCAACCTAAGCGATATTAATATTGATATATGGAAAATTTATATACTGGTTCAATATGTTGAACAGAGTGGCTGTCATAATGCTTGTCTGCCCTGATTGTTATTTGATAGATTGGTGTAAGATGGGAATTGATATTGGACTATTGATAGGTGTGCTATTGAGGATACACTGGCCATCTGGCACTGAGAGCTGGGGTTCTTACCATGAAATCCTATTGAATGAATAACACATCATCATTTGCTGGTGTATTTTTCAAGTGTCAGTCTGGTACCCTGAGTTTCAGAGCATATTGGAAGGTCACATCAGTTAGCAGTGTGTTTGTGACTGGGTTCCCATAACCCTATCATGTGGAGTTAAAATATTCCCAAGAAACCCAGGTTTATTGAGCTAGATGACCATATGAAATATGCTACAAAAAGACCAGCTGGTGGAGGTCAATTGTAATTGCTTATACATGAAGCCTATCCCCATCAACACATAAACATTGTATTACAATTAATAAAAGGGAATGACTTAATTTAATTTCAATGGGACAATTGGTCTCACACCTACGTTAAGCATACCTGTGGCAGGTGGGTGATTGTCTACCTGTAGCTGCACTTAAGGTGTGAGAAAATATCATTCACAATAGATGTAACAATAGTATTTGATAATAGTAATGTTGCATGCATGTGTTTGGACTTGTTCAAAATCTGCTGTGGTATAAATACCTTCTTGGTTTGCAAGTAATTATAGCAAGTTATCAAAGCCTTATTCTTTTGTGTGCAGTTTATGTTCAAACAAGGAAGAAGCATGATGTTTGTAAGGTAGGTGTAGAAAAATGATGATTATTTACTCGGAGAAAATGAAAATATATTACTCTTCCAAGTTTTATTTCAAGGAGGAAAAATAGGAGAAATCTTTTGAGTATTGAAAGTGTCTCATTGACTCATTCAAGCATTGTCATTTTTTTTCTTTGAATTACTTGATTTGCAAAGGTAAAGTGTTTAGTGGTTAATTTCTGTCATTATTGATATATATATATATATAACAGACCAGTGGGGAGAGAAATGTGGAGAAATTGTCAGCACAGAGCTGGTCTCTAACTCCTTATCATATAGAACTCTCAACAACTGAGTTTTGCCATACAGTGATGATGTAGCAGTATTTTGAATTTGAGATTTAC